CCCCAGACCAAAACCCCCTACCCCGTCCCCATCCAGACCCACTTCTTTGGATTGATATACCTCTTTGAGCTTACCTTCTGGGCTTTTCTTCAATATAAGATTTAACACTGAGCTTCTCGTAATGTTGTAGTCTTTCAGGGTTTTGCGATCGTTGAGTTTCTCGCCAGCATAAAACAAGCTTTGACATTCAACCATTATTCCTTCTTTCCGAGATACTTCCTTTTTCACAGCGTCAATAGTATCTTGCGGCGCAACGTCCAGGGTGATCGTCTTTCCAGTCAGTGTCTGCAAACGAATTGTCAAGACACTATCACGACGTGTGGGAATCAAATGTAGGATAGATTCTCTCCGAATTTTGTAGTGTCCCAGGGTGCGCTGATCTTCAAGTGTCTTCCCAGCATACACGATGCGTGTGCATTCGACAGTTATTCCTTCCTCCTCGAACATTTTCTTCTTTACGTTCTCGATGGTATCTTCCGGCACAACTTCTAATGTGATCATCTGTCCAGTCTGCGTCTTCACGTGAATTCTACCTCGAAGTAGGAGAAACAAGTGTATGGTTGATCCTGCTTGAATGTAGTAATCTTTCAAAGTGCGGTCATCTGTGAGTTCCTCATCATTCAAGATGAGGTGTGTCTCAGCATAGACGGCGTCATCTTCGAGTGTTTTGTCTTCAAAAGTAAGCCGTTGTTGGTCCATTGGTATTCCTACCTCATCGGCTATTTTCCTTTTCACATTCTGAATGGTATCTTCTGGTTCAACGTCTAATGTGATGACGGTCTTCCCGGTTTGGGTCTTGACGAAAATTCTCATGCGCCGTGGATATTGAACTGAAAAAGAAATAATTTAATAATAAAATAAGTACTAATTGTAATTTTTGGTGGAGTAATCATTGATTGAAATTGATTGATTCATTGATTGATTGACTGATTGATTGACTGATTGATTTACTGACTTATGTAAGAATGAATTAACTAATCAATTGATCGTGATTAATTCAGATTTATTCACTGATTGATTGATTGATTGATTGATTGATTTACACTGATTGACCTTGATAGACAAATTATATATTTCAGACAAAATATAAATCTAACTGGACAATACGAAACGTAAGAAAACACTCGTGTTGTCAAATATAGTTCTTAGACTAGTGCCTACATGTACCACCTTGTTCCACGAAAAAGGAAGCTTAGCAACTTCCACAAAGATGCTGATCTTAAGATTGATAAAAACAAAATATAATTGCACTTCCCACTTGCAAATTAGGCTGGTAGATCCGACCTTCACGTTCATTTTCTTTCCAGATGAAACGAGAAAGCAAGAAAATAAATGGACAATAAAAGAGCAAAGGCCTTCAAGAACAGAGAAAAATTGTCCTTTCGTCTTTATTTCCTTGTTCGCCCCAAGGTAAGTAACTGAAAAAAGTGTAGAGGTGAAACAAGGTCTCATACTCACCAAGACTCTGCAAGAATTGCACTCGACAATCTCTATATTCCTTCTCTGAAATCGTTGTCCTGANGGTGTAAAGGTGAAACAAGCTCTCGTACTCACCAAGACTCTGCAAGAATTGCACTCGACAATCTCTATATTCCTTCTCTGAAATCGTTGTCCTGAGTTTCACGTTGGTAAGGCCAAGCTCCTTGAGAATGTACTCTGACACAAAGGTGTTCTGTGCCAATCCGCTCAGACGTTCGATGCAACAGTCGTCCCACAAGTCTTGAAGTATTCGCAAGGAGCTACATTCCACTGTCACCCATAAACTCTCCAGCTTCTGAGTGATGTCTACAATCACCACTTTTCGTATCTTCTCTAGATGATATGTAAAGGCTCTAGTTGAATCGTGCGGTTTAGATGGGTCGGTTGGCTGCAGATACTTGAACGCAGCAAGCTTCAAGACGTCCTCTGGTGTAGGAAAACCGCCCGACGCCTCTCCCTTTCTTCTACGTGACGTACTACGCGGCACTGTTTTCCATTGGAACCAGCGTTTGAATTCCTGCGTTGTCATCTCTGAGGGTATGGTTCTTGAGATGGCTTGGCACTCGATCCGCAGTTTAATATGAACTGATAAGAAATAGTTTGTCCTTTAATTAGACGCAGAAGAAAACGAAACTAAAAAAAGACGCGCAAACACAACCGTTATTATTTTCTGTTGCTTGATACTCCATTTCTCTAAATGGCTTCAAACTTTCGTAACAGACCAAAACCACACAGGAAAATTGAAAAAGCATGGCATGAAATTTTAATACGATTTACCAGCATTTTTACCGTTAATTCAGACCAGCTACATAGGACCAAAGAAAACGGAACAACAAAGTAACGCATTGTGAATCCTTGTTTTCACGAAGGACAGTCAATACGACTTACTTCGGTGTCCTCCACATAGCGAACGTTGTGCCCATTTCTTTGGCCTGGCTAATCAAATGAACTGGCTGCACACCAAAACGTAAACAAAGTAAAAAGTAATTTTTTTCAACTGACCTTTACATGCGTGACGGCTACCAGCTGAGGAGTAGTTAAGCTTTTCTACGGATTGGTGCAACACCAAATGTAGCATTGATCCCTTCTGAATGTTAAAGTCATTCAAAGTCCGACCATCTTCGAGTTCCTTGCCATCAAAGAGAAGGTACTGCTCGCAGGGTGGGATACCATCTTTGTCGTGGATTTCAAGTTTGATTTTATGTACGTCATCACTCAAAACGACATCTAAAGTAGTCATCTTTCCAGTTGGCATCAGCACATGAATTATCATACTGTCACATTGGTCATCAACTCTTAAATATAAGGTTGACTCCTTCTGGATGTTGTATTCCCGTAACATGCGGTCTTCTTTGAGTTCGTGGACTCCAAAGTAGAGACGTTGTTTGCCAGGTGGGACGNNNAAGCTCCTCTAGAGTAGGGGCATTATCTAGTTCAGGCACGTTTGGCAGTCTCTCGATCTGGTCGAGTGCAGTTGCGGAGACTAGGTTCTCATGGTCGTAGAGCTGAGATTAGTGTTCAACCCATCTTTCGAGTTGCTTGGCCTTGTCTTGAATTACTTCGCCATTCGAGGACTATCCATTGCAAAAAACATTTGCTTGGTTAACAATGCCATCTCATACACAGAATCAAATAACATTTCCGGTTTACTTCTCTTTGTTGACTTTGAGAAAGCCTTCGATACTACTGCATGGGCATTTGTTGAGAAAACACTCCATCATTTTGGTTTTGGCTCTTCTTTAATTAAGTGGATCAATTTGTTTTACCGTGAAATCCAAAGCTGTGTCATAAATAACGGTTGGTCAGCGGGTTTCTTTGAATTAAGTCGAGGTGTAAGGCAGTGGTGTCCGCTATCGCTTTACATTTTTATCCTGTGCGCAGAGGTGTTAGCTACCACCATACGTAAAGATAATGCACATTAGGCAGCATCGAATGTGAGCTCAGTGACTATGCAGATGACACCACTCTGATTTTAGATGGCACTCAAAAATCGCTTGAGCGCTCCTTTACTACATTGGAAAAATTCGGTGAGGTTTCGGGCTTGCGAGTAAACTGTGAAAAAACTAAAGCTCTTTGGATCGGCTCCAAGAAAGGATAAGACCGGAATATATGCTCTGATAAAAATCTTAAATCGGCGGATGGCGCGGTTAAGGTTCTAGGTGTTTGGTTCTGCATTAATTGTGAAGAAAGTAAGAAGAAGAATTAGGAAGAGAACGTTCATAAGGTGGAGGGTATCTTAAATAATTGAAGAAACAAGCGATTAACTTTAACTGGTAAAATCACAGTTATTAAAGCTCTTACTAGCTGCAACGCAATTTGTTTATATTCTGTCATCAACAACGTCGTGTTCAAAATCGCTGAAAGACTCGAACAATCTTCTTTATAAATTCCTTTGGGATAACAAGGGCGACAAAATTAAGCGGACTGAAATGATAACAGATAACCAAGATGGAGGGCAAAAGATGGTAGACATAATAGAATTTAATAAGCCTTGAAAATTTCATGGATACTGAAGTATATTTCAAACGACTGCAAATCTAAATATGAAACGGCTTTTTCGATTTTCATTTATTTTAAGGTAGGCGGGAAATTAGTTTTTCTCGGTAATTTGGCACCAAAAGAAGCCAGAAAACTTTATTTAAAAGATGATCTTATCCAAGAACTTATTGAACTGTGGACGGACTTAAATTATAGGGATTCCTTTGCCTCAGGCTAATTTCAGTGCTGGTCATATTTGGAATAACTCGATGATTAGAATCGCAGGCAAGACTATATTTTATAAACACTGGGCTAACCCAGGGCTGATGAAAATTAACGATCTGATGACAAGTGATTCAAAAATAATATCTTACATTTGTTTCAAAGATAAGTTTTGTTTACCAGTTTCGTTCCTCGAATTTTGTGGAGTAACCTCGGCCATCAGGAGTGCTACGAGATCTCTGAAATTGACATTGCCAGTTGAAAAAATTCTGAAAATGTACTGCTTAAGTTAAACTCGTCAAACAAACCAAGTCAAGCAGCTGACAAAACCCTCATCACCAAAGAGTGTACTCGCCCAGAAGAAAGCCAAAAGAAATGGATTAGAGACTGTGAACTCGTCGATGTGGAAAATTTGGACTGGGAGTCAATTTATCTACTACCTAGGATATGTACATTAAGCACGAAATTGAGGAACTTCCAGTTCAAATTTCTCCACAGGAGAATAGGTACAAACTCTTTCCTATTTAAAATTAAAATTTCGGAATCAAATCTTTGTTGTTTTCGTCAAACAGCACAAGAAACATTGCTTCATCTTTTCTGGGAATGCCCGATCACAGAATCCTTTTGGAATAACGTTCAACAATGTTTCGTCTCTGTCGATTTAATACCAGCCTCACAAGTTTTAACTCTATGCCAATGTATACGTCTCAAAGGAGAGAAAAGCGCCTTGTTATTGAGTCATTGTTTACTACTTGGTAGATTTTACATTTACTCTTGAAAGTAAAAAAATGTTTGACCATCTTCAATAGAATACGTTAATCAGGTTAGGTGCAATTTAAATATGGAAAAACATGTTTCAACTATAACGGGAACACAAAACGCATTCCAACAGAAGTGGCACAAGATACTCTAGTCATTATAACTCCCTGATCTCTCCCTTGAATGATATTTAGGTTCTCCTTTTCACTTGAACACCTTTAACTTAGTATTTCATGGCCTTAATTTTTTCGCTCATATTTACTTTCGTCAGTTGTTAGAATAGCGTATTAGTAGTAGTAGCAGTATTGCATCTGTTAGTTGTATTATTATTATCATTATTATTATTATTATTATCCCTATTAGTAATATCGTTGTTCTTTAGAATTAACTCCTGTTAAAAAGGTTGTTACATTGTTAGTGTTGTAAGCAATGTTGATTGGTATTGTAACATGTAATTTATAAGTAGTGATAGTGATGTAAGTAACTTTAGTTTTTGTAAAATTGTACATTAAGTGTAGTATTGCAAAAAAAAAAAAGAAAGAAAAAGTTAGTGGACGGCCAATCATTAAAATTAATACTCGTATAAACATCAAATAAAACCTGCAATACGGGGCCATTTTAGGCAATGGCACTATATATAAACCATTTCCAACTAAGATGCGTCTGATACTTGGTTATGTTTCCTCCCGAGTATAATTTTGACAGTAAAGCAAAACGACTGGGTGAAACACAATAAAACTTTGTTTGAACCCTGTTCCAGACATCCAGATTGTGGAGAGTGTCAAGATCAAGATTGCGCCAGTGGAAAATTCCCACCCCACCTCAAAAAAGGAAATTCGTGCGGGGGGACTTAACCGGAAAAAAAAACACACTTCCAGAGGCAGTGGGTGTGAACAAAAAATTCTTGCAAGCTGAAAAAGTCCCACCCCCAATCACTTTTCTAATGGTCCGTCCCTAATTGATGGAAGAGAAATGACATATCTGTAAAAATATAGACACTCACCTGAGTCAAAAGCCTGCAATTGATCGTGACAAGTTCTGTATTTCTCCCTTGGAATCGATGTTGAAAATTTTACCTCTGATAGGTCAAGTTCATTCAGAATGTCCTTTGTCAGGAGGAATTTCTGCGCCATTTTACTTACGTAACCGTTACAGTAGTCGTCCCACAATTCTTTAAGTATCTGAAGGGAGCCGCATTCCACCGTGATCATCAAACTTCCTGGCTGCACATCTACAATCACCACGTTTCGACAATGCACCAAATAACGTACAAAGCCATTCAAGTCCTCTGGTTTAGATGCGTCGGTTGTCTGCAGGAACTTGTACGCAGCGAGGTTTAAAACGTCCTGTCCTGTGGTAAAACCCCATGACACATCCGCCTTTCGCTTACGTGACGTGGTAGGTAATACTGAGAAAATCGCTGCTGCCATCCATGAAAATCGTCCTTGTTGAACAGGTTGTGAAATGGCCTCGCAATCGATCCGTAGTGGAAGACGAGCTATAAGAGAAATGATTTCTCTTTAAACAACAACGGGATCTAACAGATTAAAATTAATCTTTACCGGTAAACTAAGGTAGAATCCCACCTTTTTTTACTAGCCTACGAAATATATTTCGTCCTCGTTGTGGATAGGCTTGTACTGTGGGCGTCCTCACTTTCCGTACGCTTATGCTTGCGCTTGTGCTCATGTCATAGTGAAAACCAGGCTTCGATGAGGTTAAAGAACTAAGACAACTTATCACCTTAATAGATGTGATATCAAGCCTAAAGCTTTCAATTTTATTTTAACAATTCGACCAATAGCTTTGTTTATTAGAATTACAATGGAACCGTTTACTGCATGATTTCACATTTCTTAACGTGAAACTTTTTGCCATTACTTTTCCCCAGCGAGCCAAACCATTTCAGTAAAACTGAAAGGTTTACCTCCTGCTTAATTTAACCATTACCGGTGTACGATTGCATGTAAGTCATAAATTCTAAATTTGCCTTTTGTTGTACATCGCAACCAAACAAACTTGTTTCACCACGAACTAATCATTACCGTTAAGAGTCTCCTGACAGAGAGGCTCCTTGCTTGCTTATGATTGTTTATGGAGGACGGCTAAGCAGTGTACCAAGATCTCAAAGGATTTGTATTTTTAGCTGTAAAAAGGGTCCTTGAGGACAATTCAAGGACCATCGTTCACACTTTAAACTGACCACTGACAAGTGGAAACGCATTTTATCATATGGAATAACTTTTAATTGAAAATTGACATTCAGAGAAGCCCCAGACCAAAACCCCCTACCCCGTCCCCATCCAGACCCACTTCTTTGGATTGATATACCTCTCTGAGCTTACCTTCTGGCCTTTTCTTCAATCTCAGATCTAACACTGAGTTTCTCCAAATCTTGTAGTCTTTCAGGGTTTTGTGATCTTTGAGTTTCTCGCCAGCATAGAACACGCTTTGACGTTCGACCGTGATTCTTTTCTTTCGAAATATTTCCTTTTTCACATCGTTGATTGTATCTTGCGGCGCAACTTCCAGTGTGATCGTCTCTCCAGTCAGTGTCCGTAAACGAATTGGCATGACACTATCACGACGTGTGGGAATCAAATGTAGGATTGATTCTCTCCGAATGTTGTAGTCACCCAGAGTGCGTCGATCTCTTAGTGTCTTCCCAGCGTAGACGATGCGTGTACATTCGACAGCTATTCCTTCCTCCTCGAACATTTTATTCTTCACATTCTCGATGGTATCTTCTGGCACAACTTCTAATGTGATCATCTTTCCAGTCTGCGTCTTCACATGAATTCTGCCTCGAAGTATGAGAAACAAATGTAAGCTTGATCCTGCTTGAATGTCGTAATATTTCAAAGTACGGTCATCTTTGAGTTCCTCATTATTCGAGATGAGATGCTGTCGATTAGGTGGGATCTCTTCTTTGTCTTGAGTGTCAGTTTTTACGTTCTCAGTAGACGTTTCTGGTTCAGCGTCAAAGCCTGTCCTCCCAGTATAGACGGCGTGTGTACTTTTGTCAGGTATTTTCTTCTTGACCTTCTTAAGGGTATCTTTAGGCAAAACTTCATCCTCGTCGTCACATACCCTTGTTTCATCTTCAAAAGTAAGCCTTTGTTGGTCGACTGGTATTCCTATCTCATCGGCTATTTTCGTTTTCACATTCTGAATGGTATCTTCCGGTTCAACGTCTAATGTGATGACGGTCTTCTCGGTCTGGGTCTTGACGAAAATTCTCATGCGCCGTGGGAATTGAACTGCAAAAGAAGTAATTCAATGATAAAATGGGTACTAAATTGTAATTTCTGGTGGAGTAATAATTGAAATTGATTGATTGATTGACTGATTTACCGAATTCTGTTAAATTGAATTATCCAATCAATTGTGTCGATTAATTCAGATTTATTCACTGATTGATTGCTTGATTGATTTACATTGATTGACCTTGATAGACATACAAAAAGATTCGTGTTGACAAATATAGCTCTTATAAGAGAGACTTGTGCCTACATGTACAGCTTTGTTCTACGTAAAAGGGACCTTAGCAACTTCCACCAAGATGCTGATGTTAACGTGGATAAAAACAACATATAATTGCATTTCCCACATGCAAATTAGGCTGCTAGATCAGACCTTCACGTTTTCTTTGCAGATGAAAAAAATATGATCATAAATGGCAATAAACGGACAATAAAACAGCAAAGGCCTTCAAGAACGGGCTAAAATTGTCCTTTCGTGTTTATTTCGTTGTTCGCCTCGATCTACGATACTCATTCAAATTTAAATAACTGGAAAAGGTGTAAAGGTGAAACAAGCTCTCGTACTCACCAAGACTCTGCAAGAATTGCACTCGACAATCTCTATATTCCTTCTCTGAAATCGTTGTCCTGAGTTTCACGTTGGTAAGGCCAAGCTCTTTGAGAATGTCCTCTGTCACAAGGGCGTTCTGTGCCAATTCGCTCAGACGCTGATTGCAATAGTCGTAGTTTTCAAGTATCCGCAGGGAGCTACATTCCACTCTCATCCACAAACGTTTCAGGTGCTGAGTGACGTCCACAATCCGTACCTTCTCTAAATAATATGCAAAGCCGCTAGTTGAATCCTGCGGTTTAGATGCGTCAGTTGTCTGCAGGTACCTGAACGCAACAAGCTTTAAAACGTCCTCTGCTGTAGGAGAACCGCCCGACGCCTTTCCCCTCCTACTACGTGACGTAGTAGGTGGCACTGTTTTCCCTTGGGACCAGCGTTTGCGTTCCTGCGTTGTCATCTCTGAGGGTGTGGGTCTTGAGATGGCCTCGCACTCGATCCGCAGTTGAATATGAACTGATAAGAAAAAATTTGTCTTTTAATCAGACGCAAAAGAAAACGAAGCAAAAATTTAGCCGCGCAAACACCACCCAAATTTTCTGTTGCTTGATACTTCAGTTCACTAAATGGCATCAAACTCTCGCAACAAACCAAAACCACACAGGAAAATTAAACAAGCATTGCATGAAATTTCAACATGATTTACCTGTACCATCATTTTTACCGTTAATACCGGACTAGCTGCATAGGACCCAACAAAACGGAACAACAAAACAACGTGAAGACATGATTGATCATCGCAGTCATACACAACTTAAGCAATTGTGAAATTAAAGCCTGAAAAAATTCAGGCTTGAACGGGATTCGAACCCATGACCTCTACGGTACCGGTGCAGTGCTCTACCAGCTGAGCTATCAAGCCAACTGAGAGCTGGTCATGTTGCCGGTTCGTATTATGCCCGTAGATGATGAAGAATGCAAGTGAATATAAGAAAGATCATATATTTGAACTGCAGAGAAAGATATGAAGACATGATTGATCATCGCACTTATATACAACTTAAGCAGTTGTCAAATTAAAGCCTTAAAAAAAAAAATTCAGGACTAAACGGGATTCAAACCCATGATGCAAACAGGCTTCCGGTGAACCGGAACGAAGCGCCCCGATCGCTTCGCTCTCCGAATTCTTCTGTTTCGCACTTGCTGAAATTTTTTTCCGCCCTCGCCGGGAGCCTGTTCGCAGGCTAACCCATAACCTCTGCAATACCGGTGCAGTGTTCTACCAACTGAGCTATCAAGCCAAGTGGGAGCTGGTCACGTTGTGAGTTGACTCTTTCCCACCCCGATCGCTTTGCTCTCCGAATTCTTCTGTTTCGCGCTCGCCGAATTTTTTTTCCGTCCTCGCCGGGAGCCTGTTCGCAGGCTAACCAATGACCTCTACGATACCGGTGCAGTGCTCTATCAACTGAGCTATCACGCCAACTGAGAGCTGGTCACGTTGTGAGTTGCCTCTTTCTGAGCTCGCAACGTGGCGAGCTCTCAGTTGGCTTGATAGCTCAGTTGGTAGAGCACTGCACAGGTATCGCAGAGGTCATTGGTTTGGCCCGAATTTTTTTCAGGCTTTAATTTCACAACTGCTTAAGTTCTGTATAACTGCGATGATCAATCATGTCTTCATATCTTTCTGCGCAGTTCAAATATATAATCTTTCATATATTCACTTGCAACAAAATAACGTATTGTGAATCCTTGTTTTCACCAAAGACAGTCAATACGACTGACTTCAGTGTCATCCACATAGCAAACGTTCTGGCCATTTCTTTGGCCTGGCTAATCAAATGAACTGGCTGTATACCAAAATGTAAACAAAGTAAAAAGCCATTCTTTTAACTCACCTTTAGCTGCGTGCGGGTTATCAGCTGAGGAGTTGAGCTTTTCTACGGATTGGTGCAACACCAAATGCAGCATTGATCCTTTCTGAATGTTGAAGTCGTTCAAAGTCCGACCATCTTCGAGTTCCTTGCCATCAAAGAGAAGGTACTGCAGACCGGGTGGGATACCATCTTTGTAGTAGATTTCACGTTTGATGTTCTTTACGTCATCGCTCCGTAAGACATCTAAAGTAGTCATCTTTCCACTTGGCATCAGCACATGAATTGGCATACTGCCAGATTGGTCATCAACTCTTAAATATAGGGTTGACTCTTTCTGGATGTTGTATTCCCATAACATGCGGCCTTCTTTGAGTTCGTGGACACCACAGTCGAGACGTTGTTTGCCAGGTGGGACGCCTATTCGCCTCTGAATTTGAACTTTCACGTTCTTGATAGCAGTTTCCGGTTTAAAGTTCAACGTGATCGTCTTCCCAGTCATCATCTTTACGAAGATTGGCATCATAGTGTCATCCAGTAGCTCTGGAGTCAAGAATAGGGTTGATCCTCTTTGGATGTTGTAGTCTTTCAAAGTGCGGTAATCTTTGAGCTCCTCAGGCTCAGCAGCATAGAAGAGACATTGACATTCGACTGGTATTCCTTCTTTCTCAAGTATTCCCTTCTTCACGTTCTCGATGGTATTTTCCGGCACAACGTCTAATGTGATCATCCTCCCACTGCGTGTATTCACGTAAATTCGCATGCCACTTCCACATTTTAGTTGAACCAAATGCAGCACTGTATCCTTCGTAATGTTGTAGTCACCCAGACTGTGGTCATCTTCGAGTGTGCTACCATCTAGGGTAAGCCGTTGCTGATTGCCTGGTATTCCCACCTCATCCATTATTTTCTTTTTCACATCCTGGATAGAATCATCTGGAACGGCGCTCAGTGCGATTGTGGTCTTTTTGGTCACTGTTTTGACGAAAAGCTTCAGTCCTGAAACAAACAAGAAGCTCAAAGAGCTTAGAACTTGGCCTGGAATTAAAAGCGCCAGGGCCTTGGTATAAAAGGCCCGGCACAGCACAGGGAAACCTCCTAAAAGATAGTCGCGCGAGTCACGAAAGAGTTCGAGGCTTGCCTAAGCCAACGGGCGCAAGAATTTTTCCAATGACGTCAGTTGTTAAGTTCGTTGGCATCCCTGGAAAGATTTTGCATATCGACATGATCTGTGTAGCTGTACTCAAAGGAATGAATCGGACCAAAATAAATTTAATTCACGCCAAAGCGAGTTTCTTTTTTCTATCTAAACTGAGTTATTTTTATTGCGCTGAAACCTAAATTCAGTCGGCTCCTCAAGTTGCACACTCCTCAGAGAGACGTCTGAACCAATGAGCTGCTAAGCCCAACCTCGTTCCTAGGCTCTCTCCTTTTCCTCCCTTATCTACAAGGGAGGAAAAGGAGTGCCTGGGAATGAGGTTAGCTAATGCCGTCCAGTGACTTCATGTCACTGTTTCCATTGATGCAGGATGTATAACAACATTGTGCCGGGGCCATTCAGTTAATGAGAAAAAGACCGCCTAAAAAATAATTACTAGGTACAAAATTGTTTCTGCTGGTTAACTGATGTCAAGTGAAAGAGATACTATTAGCTAAATATTGCCCAGTTTGAATTAAACTAATTATTTTATTTTTTATTCAACAATCTCTGTGCAATATCACTAAAAGCTGTTCTTTTGTCATTTTCACTTATTAGTAAACAAATCTAAAACTATTACCTTGTGCTGGATCTTTTCCAAAGTGCATTTCGCACGCTTTATACTCCTCTTTTGAGATTGTTGTTTTAAGCTTCAACTCTGCAAGGTTAAATTCTGTCAAGATCTCTTCTGTAACGAAACACCTTTGAACCACATCACCAAGATGCCCTGACGAATAGTCTTCCCACAATCTCTCCAGGATTGGGAGTGAATCACACTTCACCTTTATCAGCAAACTTCCAAAAGTAAAACCTGTAATAAGGAGTCTCATTTCTTTCATGTATGCCACAAAGGCATCACGGTCAGCCTTACTCCTTGGTGGTGTATTCTGCAGATAGTTGGCAGCAATTAAACATAAGACGTCTTCTTTCGTGGGAATGGGAGTTCTAGTCTCTGTGTTGTGTTCTGCAGGTTTCATGGTCTCCACATCAATTGTTATTTCCAAAGCTGTTGAATTGGAACAATAATTATCAAATATTTCCTTCTCTACCGGTAGTTTAAATCTTTTACTAGTTTTTATCAGGAGCCATAATCGGGGACGGAGACCGTAAGCGCGCGCCATTTCTAGTATTGGGGTTGTCCCCATGATATGGGACAATAATTCTATTTTTA